ATCGCAGCTTTCAGCTTTTGTTCTAATTTTAGTCGGCTTCATCATCCGTTTTATGTCTTAACTGGAGCAGTCTTGGATGTACGGTGGACTTCCTGTTCTCCAAAACCCCTGAACATCAAAACAGTCCCCCATTTGGGAAAACGCTGATCTGTATTTGGAGCTCATTTCTTGCTGCAGTGATATGAAATCAGGCCAGTGTCGGCTGAAAAACTTTTCTTATCTTTAGAGAGACATGTTATGAATACATGAAGACAGGCACAGAATTTGAGGTTGTACATCTGCATTATGCATAAGCCTTCACTGGCAGGGCTTGCCAGCATGAAAGTGAAACTCACTGCTGAATAATGTTGTTAATGGCCGAAAACCCTCACCCGCACAATATTGTTTTAGACGATGTAGATATCTCTGCATTTAAATTGCAGTACAAGTAAAATTGTGTTTTTATAGTGGCTAAATTGCATTTTGAACAGATATTAAATTGGATGGATCTGAATTTAAAAGGCAAAGAAAATGAATGGGAGCATCATAAAGTGGAACAGTAGGGTGTGTGTCATATCCCTGCTCTGTGTGCATGTGTGTACAATGTACATGCACTATTGTCTGGGAATTGTGCGCTCTTGTGTCCCTGTTGTAATCACGAACAATAGCTTGGTTGGTGTCTGTACATGACTTCTCTCTAGAAAACCCCTCCTCACTTTCTCTCTTACCTTCTCATTCTATCTCTTTTTGTTTTATCTGTCAGTTAAGTTAGTGTACTGTGGGACGGTGAGTGCCTCGGCTCCATTCAATCTAAGTCTGCTCACTTTGTGTTGGTTTTCTGCTCTGATTGCAGATAACTGGGTGTTCTCTGTTAAGGATGCAGAGATATCAGGGATGTAAATACGGTTGTGCTTCCCAAAAGCTCATCAAAGACTTTGTAGTGTCTTTCTCTCTGTGTATGTGCTGAGCTGCATTTAAGTATAAAAATCAACAAAAGATGGTAAATATCATCAGCTGTGCTACCTTCCTTCCTGCCTGTCTGTGTATAAGACTGTGTGTGGTGTCTATATGCATGTTTTTGTTGTTTAATACACTTGTGACCCCTTCCCAAATGGTTGCCATGGTGAAACCAGAGATCCTGTCAACTCTGTTCAAGCACCCATGGTTGATGTCAGGTTTATTACATGTTTCTCTAGCTTTCTCTCTCAGATCTGTTCTTCCTTCTGTTCCATCCTTGCAAAGAAAAAGTGAAACACAGAGAACGTATTTCATTGCGAAGGTTCATTATATCACAGAACGGGTGGCTGAATCTAATGCTGCTGTTTTTCTGTTGTTTTGTTTTATTTATGAGGACTCTAGGAGAGAGTCCAATATTGACCACTAGATGGAGCCATATCATAGAACAAGCCAACAAATGTGACCCAGCACTATTATTGTGTTCAGATTAGATTCATTAGAGTAGTTACAATGACAGACAGACAAAAGCAATGATTTACAGTACTTAACTGTGAAGGTTCAGTTCATAGACTGAAGCTTTCAAAGCTGAAATTGAAAAAGATTTTCCACAGTAGAAACAGAATTCTCATATTTTTAAACAAACAAAGAATTTCAGTCAGAATGAGTCAAAGCTCAGATGTGTATTGCACTCACTTTTTGAAGATACTTTTTTTTTTGTCAAAATCTATAACAACTTATGTGATAGTTATGCTTTATAGCTATTTCAGTTTAAACACATGACTAGGAGCTCTTGTAGCTATTGTAAATACTGACGCTGACATGTTTGATACAGTGAAAGTTAACTGTGTAAATGTTGATGTACAAAACATTTGAAGGCATCACTTTGCACATGCACTTGAGTGCCACCTCTAATTCAAACAAAACTTAGAGCTAAGTCTAAAATTAAAAGAAGGAAAAGCTGTAATTGAACTCTGCAATTTGAAAATGTTGGACAGACAAAATACTGACAACTCTGTTATTCTGAGCTGTACTGCGCATAAAAATGTGAATTGTAAAGGGTGGCACTGGATGAGAGGTCATGATGTGATGAAAATCAAAGGTGCTCATCCTCTTGGTGGCTTGAATGTGCTCATAAAAAAATATATTGCAGATGAGTGAAACACAAATACTTAAACATGAAATACATAAAACGTAACATACATAAAATTATCATGAAAATATTTTAAAACATATTTAAAACAACATACATTAGGTGGCAGTGTATGGTATAAAACCTGTGCATCCCGCCAGTTGTCTCTAGTTAAGAAAACATTGCCCACCAATTTTTCGTTGCAGTCTACACATTAATAGAAGAAACCTACCTGATGATGAGGAAAGCACATGAAGTGCCAAATCAAAAGTTGCTCAGTAAATGTCATAGGATTATGATTTTTCTTGATGGTAACACTGGAAAAAAAAACAGGATGACCAAAAACATTGGTACTCATCATGAAGGGACAAAGAATATTCACAGCAAATTTAATGGGAATCCAGCCATTATTTTTAAGGTACCTTATTAAGAACCAAAGTGTTGGTCAGCAGAAAATGTTGACCCGGTGGTAATGCTAAATGAAGGATCAGGCTGGTTGACCTTCTGTCATAATGCAGGGGATTGAGAGCAGAGATAAACAGTCTGTGATAGTTGAGAAGCTTCTCCAATTCCCTCTCTGTATCTGTGCACTGACACCCACGCACACACACATAGTTATCTCATCCAGTATCACATCACTTCTGTTGTGACTCGCAGGCATATTTATCATCACCGATTTATTCTTAGCTCATAACCACACATGCTGCTATCAGTCAAAATGTAATTGATGATTAAGGTTGTGCATTCTTGGAGGATTAACTGATGGCAAACTCACATAATAGCTTTGGTTCAGTATGTGTGGTGTAGTGTGTCTATTTATCTGCCATACTAGTCTGTGTGTGCTAAAATGGCAGCTTTAGATCGCATAGGGTGTTTGTATGTGTGTCGGATTTGCCACTGTTACTCTGTGTGCTATTTGTGGTTTCAAGGTATTACATAAGAGCTGATTCTTTTTCCTCTTTCTGTTTTCCTCCTTCTTTTCTGTCTGTGGTTCATGACTCTGCCAGGGAGAGAGCCAGGGATATTCCCAATGTCCGTCTCTGCATGTTGTCTTCCTCTCTGTGTACATACATGTGTTTTCGTGAGTTTACACAACTTCAAGGTGTCACAGAGTTAACTGTTTGTGAAACACAGGATCTGCATTACGACTGAGCGCGCTGCTCAAGGGGCTTTGTTAGCCTCGGGCAGGTCTTGTCCTCTGCAAGACCGACAGGTTTGTCCTCTCAGCTGTTCTGACTGACAGATGAGGAGGGAAAGGAGACAATGTCAAGAATGTTAAAGACACACAAACAAAGATTCCAGTCCTGCCTCAAAACTCACTCTCTTTCCCTTTGATATACAAATTATTATTCTCATCCTCATTATCTCCCTGATTCTTTCTCCCCCATTTTAATTGATGCAGTTTTCCATCTGTCATGCCTCTAATTTGCTCCATTTTTCTATCCAGCCATCACAGATTGAACAGGGCCTCTTTCTCTGTGTTCACCAGTGTGTGACATTATTTGCGTATGTGCATGTGCATGTTTTTTCTGGATGTGTGTCTCCGTGTGTGATCCTTTTGAGAGCTTCTGCCTTTCCTTCCATTTGTCTCATGTGAGCAGTAAAAAGCAGGACCTCAAAGTGACGATAAAAAGAGAAGCATCTCTGCTCTCCTTCCTTTTTCTTTCCCTGTTCACCTTTTTCACAGTGGCTGAACCGTCCTCCTGTTATTAGATTAGTCATGGTCCATGTTTTTTCAAAGAACACATCTCATCTGGCCTAGATACTCTGAGTGTGTGTGTGTGTGTGTGTGAGTGTGTGTGTGTGTGTGTGTGTGTGCGCGCGCGCGTGCGCGTGCGTGCATGTGTGTGAGGGAGATGTATAAATGTGAAAGCCTGGACTTAAAGTTACATAAGCCATCCACGAACAGCCTCAGAGGCACACATGTGAGTGTGTGAGTGTGTATGTGGGTGATGGTGTGTGTGAGCAGTGATGAGAGCTTTCATCCAAATGACTTTACTGTCAGCCTGATGGGTATTTCCATCATTATTGTTCAGTCTAGGTTTGCTTTATTGATTGGTTTGCTGTGTGTCCTGGATATTTTCAGTGAACAACAGATCCTCTGTAGGTTTGGTCACACATCTAGCTAAATCCTCATACACATACACATATACACATATAAAGGGTACATTGTTAGTCCTTGCTGAAAATATCTGCAACGTAGTTGCTCTTGTCTCCTCTTATTTGGTAAGGGAAAAAAGCTTTGTGTCACAATCACAGTTATCCACTGTCTCTTCTGGGAGCTGCCATGCCGAGTAAACAAACCATTAACAATGAAATTACTTTCAGATTACCCTTCAAACTCACATTCATTCTTGTTTCAAAGCAAGCATGATTGTGCAGGATGTAATATATCTGTAAAGCTGTCAAAATGCAGATAGCAAGGGCTTTACTGCATTATACTTTATAGTTTTAACAAATGAGGGAAGCTGCAGTTTTATTTAAGTGCGTTTTATTGGAAGGCATATATTCAGAAATGTAGGATATTGCAGTGCTACAGCGGAGTTCATCATACACTACGAGCACTATCTCAGATCTAAAAACATCTCCTTAAAATTTACTGTATGCCCCATCATTTCTCCACTTCTCCTGGTTTCTTTCCATCTTCTCTTCCTTTGGGACACAAACATCTGGTAGTTTCACTGTCCCACAGAAACCAGACTCTTCTTTGAATCTTAAAACAGGAAGCACTGCCTCTCCTCTCCCCCCCTGTCTTCCCTCACAATCAACAAACCCTTCAAAGAATCAGGGAGGGGAGAGCGGCAAACTCCTGAGAGCAAGCTAGGAAGTTAGCAAACATGCGAGAGCAGGGTGAGCCGATGTCTGTTAACCAGCTGATCGTCCACCCAGACAGAGAGCAGGGAGGGGAGAGGGAGAGGGAGGAGAGCAGAGAGAGGAGTGACTACTGATGCTACAGTAATCTGCACTGTGTGAGTCAGTGCTGTGGTGAGCAGAGCAGCAACAGAAGCAGCAGCAGTGTGAGACACGTTTCACTCTCACGAACGTCAACAACGCAGAAGAGCAGGATGGGAAATCTGAGCAGCTAGGCAAGAGGAGGAAGTGAGACAGCCCTATAGAAAGCAAGCAGTGAGAGGGAGAAGCAAGAGGACAGATCGACGGCTTCTTTTTTTGACTGCCACCTTTTTTCGCTGTTGAAAGACTGACTGTGGAAGATCACTGACTTGCCATTTGGATTGACAGATCAGTCTGAACTGATCCGGCGGAAGACAAAGTTTACTATTAAACATTGGAGGTGGCATCAGGCTTAGGACTTGACGTGTTGCAGGGATGTCCTGGTTGTCTCCGGTCCAGTGGGCGAAATGGACATGGTCAGCAGTGACTGGGAGTGTAGAAGATGATGGGCAGCCTGGAGCAAAGGATGATGGAGAGGACAAGTAAGAGGGTTTGGCCACAGATGTTCATGTGTATGAGAGTGAAGTCAGAAAGATAGCTGGTTTACAGGTGGATCTGGATTAGAAATAAAATCAGAAAGAATAGTTTTTTGATAGTGTTTGGAGGGGATTGATTACATTTGTGTGTGGATGCTAGTGTGATGACGGCAGATTCCCCTGAGTCATACTGACAGGTGGTGGATATATACACGCAAACACCACACACACACACACACACAGACAAACTGATTGATCATGTGGTATAAGCTCAGATTCTTTCCTACGCTGTGAATGGGTCAGGCTGCTGTCATTGGCTAAAAACAGATTCTTAGTCAAAATACAGACAGTCAAACTGCTGTTTTGGCAGTCCCTGCTTTGTTTGCACCATCCTGTTTCTTTATGAGACACTAAACGCTCACGATCTGACTGTCTAGGCCTGGTTTTGTGTGTCCGTCTGTGTGTGTGTGTGTGTGTGTGTGTGTGTGTGTGTGTGTGTGTGTGTGTGTGTGTGTGAAGGCTGTTTGGCAGTTGGGGAACAGTTGCTGAAAGTTGGGGGAAGGGAAAAAAGCCACAGTTTCCAAAGCTTTTGATTTTTTTCTGTCCATTTCTAGTTTCTAAGTAACCATGCAAGATCGCAACCATTGGGGCCATCTCTGGGTCGTGATTCAGTGTGTGTGTGTGTGTGTGTGTGTGTGCGTGTGTGCGTGCGTGCGTGCGTGTGTGTGTGTGTGTGGGGTGGGGGGGGTGGGTATGTACACTGGGATTAGCTCTGGATGGTGGTGTTGTATAGAGCTCCAGAATGTGTGAATGTGTTTGTGTGAACTGGTATCAGAGACAGAGTGTGGTTGGGTATTGGCACTGTGAGCTTTGTTCCTTCTTGTGCTGTTTCTCATTAGTGTGGACGTTTTGATGTGCGTTCAAGTGGCTGGGAATGGGTACTCACACACAAACACACACACCCACCCACATAAACTCTCACACTCTCTGTCTCTCCCTTCCTTTTTGTCTCTCCACAGTTTGGAAATAAATTTGGGCTGGGTGTCTAGGCAGCTGACACTGCAGACCAAAAGACTCTGTGTGTGTTTCTGTGTGTGTGTTGTGGGACACAGTGTGTCCTTATTGAGTGGTAAAGGATGCAGGTGGCCTTGTAGGCCTCACTTCCTCTCCTCTCCCTTCCTCTGACTTCCTTTAAAATAAAAGCAGCTTGTTTATTTTAAGCGGCTTTGAACTTTGAAATCTATTGTTTTCATGTCACTTTAAGAAAATAGAAGATTGATATTGGAAAGCTAGTGCTTATTTGTTATGGTGAATTTGACACAGCAACATACAACCAGGGCTTTCATTGTTATATGTACATCATTTAATGGCTGATTGTAGCATTTATAGGTTGTTATTTAGACTGATCAATGTTTTCAATGCCCCTCTGTTCTCATAGACAGTAGACTGTTGTTTGAGAGGCATTCTTCCAGCTTTAAACCAGGCAATGTGATTTGTTTTAATCACATGCTCCAAATCACTTTATGAGAATAGTTGTTACTGTTTTGTGGGTAATTCATCTTTTATCTAACTGGAGATTTCTTATTTAGTTCTAGATAATATGCCAAATATGCGTACTCAGTTGTAGCTCTGATCTCTTCCTTGCTGTCTCTTTGTCTGTTTCAGTCTATCTCTGCATTTTGTTTGTAATATTTTACAAAATATTACTTAGATTAAAATAAATAAACCTCTCTCTCTCTCTCCCCACAGTTCAGACTCGGAGGGAGCCTTTGAGACTCCAGAGGCGGAGTCTCCAGGTGTTGTGAAGCTACTGAGCCAACTGGACAACTCCAACCACACAGGTAAGATAGCTCAGGCTGACCCAGGGCTCTAATACTCGTCAGACTCTGTCACACCTTAACAGTGACATTGGGTAGGGATGGATCTCAAGTGTCAATATTTTTGACAACTGTGGAGTAAGAAAAGCTACATTTTAGCTGTATTTTAATTGCCAAATTACTGCTTGTGTTTTGGCATTAAAGAGTAACTTAACATGAGACTGAAGAGCTGTGGTTCACTGCCCACTCTTGAATGTTGAATATTCTGAGCCTGTGTGTACAGCTGCATCACTGATGGGCGTGGTGCACCTGTAATCACACCCAACTGAGATGTATGAGTAGGAAGAAGTAAGGTTCTGGAGAAACTTGTTTTGGTGCTGGTGCCGAAGCTCAGGTTGGGTATCAGCATTAGCACTGACATTTTCAAACTGTACCCACCCTGATACTTTGGTGGCATAGGTGCAAAAATGTCTTCATCAATGTTTATCTCATAAAATTGTCCAGATCCAGGTCGGGACTGGCAGTGAAGGCTGACAGCTATACTAATTATCATTTGAGGGTTGTAGTGGGTCTGGAGCCAAACAACCATTCATGTTCACATTCCAGTGGAATCATTAAAACTTTAAATCGGTGCCATTCTGCCCATGGACACCATTACCTCTTCTATAAAAGTGATGGTCATCAACAGGTCAGAAGTAATTGTTTCCTTCCACCTATGACTCATAACTCATTACAGAAGCTCTGCTTGTGCAGGACGAACAGCAGCCTCCTACTAAAGCACCACAATACAGTAGATTTTGGCAAATATACTGTATATTAAAGGGTTGGTTCATGCAAATTTGAAACAAAAATATTTTCTCTCTTACCTTTAGTCATTCTTGTTAATACAGATAGTTTTAGTTTTATTTGCCCAGTTTTTGAGTTTTTAAGGGAGGTATTTGTAAGTTTTTGCTATTCCTACATGGTCAGTGTTAGCATTAACAGCGGTTTACTTAACAGTCCAGAAGTTGAGTTGAGTCGAGTTCAGCATCAAACTTCATTCCTTTACTATTTCTTCAACTGAAGACTCTGCTCTGACCATCTCACATGGGAAAGTGCCCTGAAGAAGTAGAGTTTCTCAGAGGATGTATCATACCCTCTTGTCTAGTAAAAGCAACAATGGTTGAAGCTCTTGCCAAGACTGGTAAATAAACAGCTGTTAAGGCTAGCATTGGCTATGTAGCGATAGCAAAACAAATAGCTCATTTAAAGTTAGGTTAGGGTTGTTTTTTTATTTTATTGCAGTTGTAATTACACTGTCTCAGTGTTACTTTGTGTGATTAAATATTTTGACCAGTGTTAACATGCCTGCTACAGATCTTGGCTCAGCATACTGTCATCTGCCTTTACTGTGAGCATGAAAGGTTATTAGAAATGTAAATTAGCTCTCTCCTGTTAGACAGACTTGTACATTAAATGGTTGGTAGTTGAACCCTGCCTGTTTGAAGCTGCCAAAGAGGTCCACTCACTGCTGTCCAAGTCCCCCTCCTCACCCCCCCTCGCATTCAGCTGTCCTGCTTTACCCACACAGACACGAGTACCACATTACCATGGTGATAGATAATCTGGAGTGCATCCTCTGTGCTGAAACAAATGCCATTATATGACTAATGTTTGCAAACTCGGTTTCTTCATCGATCTCCATCTCAGTAATTGATTGACATGTACTGTATGTGTGTTAGGATATAATTTGTCTGCACGGTGTGGATGTCTCAACTACTTAAATCAGACATGTTTTGACCACAGCATATGGGATGCTGTGCCAGGAAATAATAATGTTTTGTATTGAATCCAGTTTGCAGACAATAACAGTCTCCTTTTTGTGCTAAAACAGTCACATGGTCGGTACAAAATGTGGGTTAGTTTTGTAAATAAAAGATCGACTCTTTGGAGAAATTGATAGTCTGGTTCCCTATAATTAGACTCAAACGGTTCAGAGGGGAATCACTGCCTGTTCATGGGAACAACCACAGGCCACAATCTAATTGTATGTACTGTTGAACCAGGATGAAACCTTAGACAGCAGTGTGCCTACCAGTATACTATCTGTTTCTCTCTTACTTCCCCCTTCGTCTCCTTTTCCTCTTTTTTGTTGAGTTGTGAAACTGTAATGAAGCCTGATGTTGTTTTTGTTGCTAGGCCACATGGTGGTGTGTACTCTCCATGACTGGGTGTGGTTCCTCTACATCTGTTCCTTGTCTCTGAAGGGTGTGTGTGCAGTGTTTTTGAAAGTCCCTAGATTTTGAGCAGAAGCTTAGCCAAAGTTACATTAATTGACTGTGTGATGTAATAAGTCAAACGTTAGCATTTGATCATGACTAACGACGTGTGAAGCTGTCACCCACCCAAGGTGAAACCACAATGTCTTCATTCATATTGTGCATGTTTAGAAGAAAAATATAGGAGAGGGTCTTGTTGGTTTATTATTGCGTGGAGCTGTGTGAGTTGATGTGGGAGCATTTTTCAGTAACAGAGCGTCCTGTGTTTCAGCAGCAATGTGACTCAACAGGGACTGGTCTGCTGCTGTGGTCGTTAGCTAGCTGTTAACGGGATCTGTGAGGACACAGGATGTGAAGTGCTCTGAAAGGAAGCCAGTAGCCATTTTAAGTGTTCTAACAGGAGAAGGAGAGGCCGTCACTTCAAGGGTTAACCCCTGAATGACAGATAAAATCATCAGGTAGCCACAGGATTGAGATGTTAGGTTTTACTGTTTAAGGGCAGAAACACTAGAGGAGGGTGTAAGATCTATTTTCTCTTCTGCTGTACTGATCTCAGTGTTTTTTTCAGCTGCAGTAGGAAACCGTTTTCAGTGAAAACCCTCTAAACACCATCTGCACACTACCTGCCCAGCACCAAACAGAAGACAGACACAGTTAGCGACTAACTGGAGAACGTAGTGGAGCATTAAGCAGCCAAAGAGACAGATATTTCCCTCAGGAGTTGGTGGAGACCAAACATAAAGCTAATGAGAGATATTAGATTTATATTCATCAGGTGGCCAGAAACACAAGTGATAACGTTGCCCTGTATGTACTGGACGTTTAGATAAGTAACTTTTCGGTAACATGTACACCGTATGAACACCGTATGTCAGTGTTGTGTTCACAGCTTGTTTACACTGCCTTCAAGTGCTCCGAAAATCAGTTATCGTAGGTTTGTGGTAAAAATGGGTTTAAGAAGAGAAAACCATCTAAACAAATGATTTTTCCAGCTGTGAAACTCAGACCCTTTGTGTCTCAAGTTGAGATGGAGACAGTTATTAAAGATATTCTTTCATCTTGTCTCAACTTGTGAAACTCCCTCCCACACCTGCTATAGCAAAACATCCCTGGATTGTTTGCAAGTGGTCTAAAATGCTGCTGTTGGTATTATGTGACACAGATCTTCATTTCTTTACACTGGCTTCCAATCAAATTCAGAATTTGATAGAGACATAGTGACATTAGAGATCTATTGCAGCCCTATGTCACCAGTAGTTCTCCAAGATATCTCGAAGACTTTGTTATTCCTCCTGGCTTAAAGTGCATTTGAGGTTGTGGCTCTGGATCTGTGGACAGCTCAACACCCACCTGTTTAGACTTACTATTGTGTAATCTTTATTTATTTTACTCCTTTTATAGTTCTGAAGTCAAGCACTTTGTGACATTCTGCTCTTATAAGGTGATATATAAACTTACTCACGTTTTTTCTTTCTTTTTTCACAGCTCTTCCTGATGTTACAAACCACTTTCTGGACAAGAACTCTAACCAGGATGTTGGCACAGTTTCATTCCAAGAGGTTGATTCCCTGAACAACCTCACCAGCTCCTCGCCAAACAACAGCAGCTTCAGTGTGGATCAGAATCTTAATTTTACCCTAAGCACCAAACACAGTCCAGGAGAGGGCCTCTCCCCATCCACTCCTCTGCCCCAGCCTCAGGCTCTCCGGCCTCCGTCGCTGTCTGTCCTCTCTCCGCTGAACAAACCCGATCCCTCGGAGGTGGATGACGAGGCTCCGGTGACGCCAGACTCCAGCCCAGACTCAAACTTGATCCCCAGTCATGACATCTGTGTGGACCCTGATTTGCTCAATGGCAACATGAACTCTGACACTGTGCTGTCAAACACAAAACTCATCTGTGAGACCAACGACACCATAATCACGTGAGTAGAACATTATAGACAAACATGCACAAAAGCCAGTCCTCTCCAATCATCAATCATAATCACCCTGTTTACAGTCAGTGGCTATATTTACTGGATCATTATGACTCACAGATTTCAAGCTGGAAAAAAAATGCTGCTCTCTTTTATGGCTGTAGAGAACAGTAGTGAATGCTTCCTATTGTGCACAATGAACCTGAAGAGATCAGAGTGTTCCCATTGTAACAAACTGTGGTGACCTGTTCTGGTCTGTCAACTTTTGTTTCTCTTCTGATTCCATTCATTCTTCACCAGCGTTATTATAGTTTTTAATGTTTTTATTGCTGTTATTTTTATTTTAGAATTGGAGATCACTTTCTTTTTAGTTCAGTTTTCAGGAAGGGTTTCTTTTGAATTTGCTTGCATCCTTCCATACATACTGATTTAGGGCAGTTTCTGATGTTCAGAGATGGATGAAGTATTTTTAACAACTACTGTGTGTTTGCTGAGAGAAGATATTCTTTGAATGGTGAAGAGAAGTTAAAGTGTCAAACAACGACCTCTTGTGGTTTGTTTCTGTAATGATTCTGCCAAAGAAGTGGCGACCATAATACAATGTTTCCTGAGGTTAGATTTGTTTGCATCTTTTTGAATGATATATGTAATGGATTACAGCTTGTAGGCCAATATATTGTGTATATAGTAAATTCTTCCCGTTATTTTACATATTGTCCATATTGCAGGCCTCAGATAAAGGTCAGTTTCTCTATCCACTTAATTATATTGACAATTGCAGTCGAGTTCTCCTTTGTTGGAGGGTTTGCATGCAGTCATTTCTGTGACGGCTTCCTTTCTCAGCAGCCAAAAGTAACTATTCTATGACCTATTCAACCTGAGCCATATGTTTTCCAGGACTTTGTCCAGATAATAATGTAACAGAAGAGCAATCAACTCTAATTTCAAATATTGTCATAATGAATCTAAATATTAAAGGATGAGCCCAGAATATACTTGATTTTCATTTTTTTTTTTCTATCGCAGCTTTGAAGGTTTTTTTTATTATAATACTTAAATTGGTTAAGGAGTTTTGGAAGATTCTAATTTCACCTTCAGTGATGTTTTGCTTTCCAGTTCAACCTGTCTAGTTTTAGTCTTGATTTTCTGTTTACTAAACTATAATAACCCTGCATTCACCTTCTGTTTAACCTAACCCCTGTCCCATCCTCCCCTGTGTCTTTCTTTCCTTTTCCTTCCAAACCTGTCATTCTGTTTCCCTTCTTTCTGTGTGGCCTCAGGACTGCCGAGCAAGTCCATTTCCTCTGTGCTCTGTTGTAAGTACTGTATAATCGCGTGTGCAGACGTGTGTGTTTTTGTAATTTGCTGTTCTGAATACAAGTCCAGTGTCATTCCACAGTCTGCTGTGTCACCCATTTGACCTAGATTTCCCTTCGATCACAAAGTGAAGGTGTGGGAAAAAAAGTGAGCAATAGATTTAGAAAGTGGAGGAGAGAGAGTGTTAATGGGAACCTTGTAATTCCCTCTAATGCCCTGTGCAACTGTTCTTGCTCTTATTTCAATTCATCATTAATCAGCTTTTTCTCCTGCGTAATTCAGCACTTTTCGCAGAGCATGTAAGCTCAGGGCACACACACAGAGCAAAGCAATGAGGTCTGGCTATGAGGCTTTCTGTCTCTCCTGCTTTTTCTTCTCATCATGACACCTGCCCACATGAACATCCATGCAGAGATATGATCTGTTTTGTCTTAACACTGATGTTGTCTTTGACTTCATACTCAGGAACTCCTGTAAGATGAAGCAGAACCAGCTGATGCAGAAGGACTTTGCTGGACAGGTAAGAATCAGTAATGTGTTCACTGTGCAGTTTTTTAGCAACAGCTGATTCATGTGGTAGCATTAGCGTCTTGAATATCTACAGTCAGTCAGTGTGGTTGAGTATGCTTGCTGCTGTTGAAGGATGACCATCATGGAGGCCACGCCACAGATGAGGAGAAGTTGGCGAGCAGTGCAGGTGTCAAACCAGACAAAGACCAAAGCAGTGAGTAAAAGGATCAACGACTATTGATTTTAATGCTGTGTTAATAATGTCTACATTTCTGAGAGCCACCCAGTTATAATACACACTGATACAATCGTGAATCGCTCTGTTGTTACTCAGCTCAGTGAGGGACTCTCATGAACAGAGATCAGATAACTGGATGTTAAAGTTTAGACAGCATGCTTTAGCTTCCCTCAGGGCAAACAATCAGCCATGCTCGATCAATACTGATAGCGAGAAGGTCATCTTTGGCTTACTGTTACAGACACACACACAACATTAATCATTAACTTTCATTTTGTGCTGCATTGACACTTGTGACTTTGTGAGTCATGAGCCCAGACACAGTACAACAATACAGACCGTTTCCTCTGCTGTGTTTCTAAAGGCATGATGTTTTTTACTTTTGAAATTATTTTTCTGACTTAGCAGGAATAAAATATTCAGATATTTTCTATTTTCTTTTTACATAGTAGACACACAGAAATATATATAATTGCAAGAAAATGTGCTTTCCTACTTTTAAAAATAATTCTGCAACAAATGTCTGAAGAAGTCATTTGAGCTCATCTTTAGTCATAACATGAAGTCAGTATGACCTGCCAGTGGGTTTGGATAATTTTAGGACAAAAGATTAAAGACATGAGTCTTAAATACTAAAGACTTCAGCTTTTTCCTTGAAGTAATGAAATACAACTCACCACTACAGTATTACCAACATATTACAGATTACATACAATCAGTCATGAGAAGAAATCTGGGAAACAAATGACGGCATCTCATTCCGGTGGAAGTGAAATTAGACTTTAAACTCAGGAAAACATATGTATGGGGACATATTGAAACACTGACCTCTCATCTGCTGCTACGTGCTTGACATGTTGGTGAACTATATTACATAAGAGACCACAGCATCAAAAACCCCAAATTCTTCTTAACACGAGTGTGTTGTTTTCTTCCAGTCCAAGACTGCCATGTGACATCCAACCCTGAGGAGTCAGACTGCTGCTCTGTGGTGAGGAAATATCGCATTTAACCATTTAAGTAATTTCCTCTACATCTACTGTACCAGGCCCACATACAATCTATTTAATAATCATCACAGTGCTACACTATCATTCATACTGTGTCAGATTTACACTATCAAAGTACCTGCGATGATGATCCCTCCAACGACCACTAGGTGGGGCTGGAGCACTCATTTCTAGGTCAAACTGAACTGTCACCATCAGTGCCAGGAAAAACAGCTATGGCAAGTCCAGACGTGTCCTAGTGTTACATGACACTTTAACTGTAAAAGTGGCTAGTCCACCTCTTTCATTGTGTAAGAATTGAATGGGCGACACTTACACTGTAAATGAGAAATTATGCAAGCAAAACTGTGTGTTGTGATTTAAAGATGTAATAGACTTAATAGTAGAGTGTATATAAAGCTGCAGTATGATGGCCTGTCTGATATGATGACTGCGGTGTGCTGTAGGACAGCAGGAGGTACTTACTGTCTGGCACCATGTTCATCTACTCAGGTGACAGATGGATTTAGATTATCATTCAGGAGATTAGAATATGACTGTCATAATCCAGGGAAGGACAAAATGAGAGAGGAGAGAGACAGGGGGACATGAAGAAGAAGGACTGAGATGTTTGAGAACACTGATTAAAAGGCAAGACGGGTATGAAGTGAAACATGAGAGGGAGAGATGGTTGAGAGAATGAAGAAGAAAGAAGGTCAGAGATCAGGAAAGAGCAGATATACAGAGAGAATTATAACATGTTCAGTATAAAATAACAGAAACAGAAAATTCTGCACTTCATACCATATAGAATAGTTTGCATTGGTAATATTTGGAATATGGGAAGGTATATTGTGTTAAAACCTTATAACAATAATAATAATAATAATAATATTAATAATGATAATATCTTGAAAAGTTTAGGTGGGCTTACATTCCATTATAATATAATATAATGCTGTAAAAAAAAAAAAATATGAAGGACGTGACTGATTCCTCTCTTCCCTCTGCCCTCAGCAGTACGAGGACACGTGCAAACTGAAGAACAAATCAAGGGGAAGTGAGATGCAGAAAACAGGAAGTCAGGTCCTGGATTCCATCTGCATCAGTGAAGCAGAAAAGCAGGCCGTTCTCACCCTCATTAGAGAGGAGGTACACACTTTTATCACACTCATCCAACATGAAACATGTTGTCAGTGTGTGTGTAGGTATTTGGCGTGGTTTTATTTGTACGCACAGTTCTGCTCACAGTCGCCATCTCCTTTCAGATCATCACTAAAGAGGTGGAAGCCAACGACTGGAAGAAAAAATATGAGGACTGCAGACAAGAAGTCAATGAGATGAGGTTAACAAACATGTTGCTGCATGTTTTTTTATTTACTCAGTTATCATAAAGAAGTGACCATCACTGATTGACTTTGAGGGTCGTGTGAGGTTTTGACACTGAAACACAATTGAGTAGTGGAGATGTAACTGATTTACCACTTACTGTATGATAGGGGCTTTTGGGATGTAGCGGAAGTATTAGTGCTGTCATTAAAATGTTGTCTTTAAAAACCACCAGTCTGTCTCTCAGTTTAAGACCCATCATGTGTTTTGTCTTATTACAGGAAGATTGTTGTAGAGTATGAGAAGACAATTGCTCAGATGATCGGTGAGTAGAAATATCAGAAGATGAAATCTACCAAAACATTTGATTGGAGTACATTTTTCTTATTACCACACATTTCACTATTTCAATGCCACAGTGTGATTTGTGTCAACTCGTACTCGTACATTTCACTCAATACTTCTCTCTTTACTTTTAAATTTATCCCTGTTTATGTGGTAAATACAATGTTTCATGCAATCACTGTTACCAGACTCGATACAAGAAATAAGTTATTTAGCACTTCACAATAACATCTTCTTCTTCTTCTTCTCTGCTCCCAGAGGACGAGCAGCGCAACAGTATGAGTTCCCAGAAGGCTTTGCACACAGTGACAATGGAGAAGGAAGCCGCCCTGGCAGATCTGAACTCTGTGGAGCGCTCTCTATCTGACGTGTTTCGGCGTTATGAGAACATGAAGAGCACCCTGGAGGGCTTTAAGAAAGTAAGGGGCCATAGGACGAGTTCATGCCTCGATAATTATTGGTGGAAAGTGTCGATTTCAAGTGCTGAGATGATCAGCTGATAGTAGCACAAATTGGAAAGAAGATTAAGGTCAGAGGAGAGTGAGAAGGTATCCTGTGAACAGGGGCAGTGGTTGCCTAGGAGTGAGGGTTTAAATTGAAGGTCACTGGCCATCAAACAGTGTTCTCTCCCTCAACAAATACCACAGAAAAACCATTCGATTAAAGCAGTGTATGCCCCAATCTTGACCCCCATTTGAATTCCGGGGAAGCGGACAGCTGTGGTGAATATATTGGGCAGCTTCCAGCTGTAAATGTGTGTAACTGCAGGAATTCAGAAAGATTAGAAGGAGGCGTGTGTTTAGAAAGAAAAGAATTCCCACTCTTTAAGACTCAAGTCAAGGCAAACATTAGAGTCCTGTAAGGAGGGTGTAGTGTATCTGCTTTCTCTCTGTCTAATGGTGATAGATAAATAACACCGTGGCTGATCTCTGTTTCCTCAAACAGAATGAAGAGGTGCTGAAGAAGTGTGCGCAGGAATATCTTGCCAGAGTGAAACAGGAGGAGCAGAGATACCAGACACTTAAACTCCATGCTGAGGAGAAACTAGAGAAGTATGTAGAGATGGAAAGGAAATACGTTTTAACAAACTAAATTCTTTTACGGGTTTGAGATGCTGTTATTTAAAATGTGTATTCATCTTCCCCATTCCACGTCTGTCACTCAGGGCCAATGAGGAGATTGCTCAGGTGCGTGCGAAGGCGAGCTCAGAGAGCATGGCGCTGACCGCCGGCCTGAGGAAGGAGCAGATGAAGAATGAGTCTTTGGAACAAGCTCTGCAGCAGAAGGTCAGAGGCATCCTCGTCTTTCTACATGCTAATTCTAGATGAAAGTTTCACACATTCACACTGAATTTCTGTGCTGTGATTTAGTATATAAAGATGTATTAAATGAAATTATTCATCCTTTGTTGTTTTGTGATAGAATCAAGAGATCGAGGAACTCACAAAGATCTGTGATGAGCTGATTGCCAAAATGGGAAAAATAGACTGAGAGACGGTTCCTGTGGATCAGCTACTACTATCCCTCTGGTCCTGCCTACAGTGACGCCCCGTGCATGCTCCCAGCCAAGAAGCAGCTCTTATACCCTGTGCCAGCCCTGCATCTCAGAGACTGCTTATGTAGAAATTTATAAAGTAACTTCCTGTACACTACTATTGCACTACTTGTGACCAGAATCAAGAAGGTTCTGTAAATGATAGTTATTGTTGGGACTTTGTTATATGTGGTCACTTTGTTTTGTTTGCATTTATTGCCCATTATGAGGTCATCTGGACCCCTTGTGCTTTCATCCATCATGCCAGCGAACAACACCCTGCTTGTGACTCAACTTAAATTCCCAGCAGCTTAACGGCTAAATTCCTAGCATAATGCTCCTGCAGGATGACATCAGGTTTAATGCGGGCTGGAGTTGTTTTGGAGTTTCACATGGGCGTTTGACGAGGATTATTTAAAAGCAACAATAAAATAAAATGTATTTTTCTATGTTGTAAGCAAAGAGTTAACTCTGAAAAAGAGAAGCTCAGGGTTATTGTGTGTGGGGCAGAATGAGGTCAGGGGTAAAGTCAAGCTGCACAAGAGCTAAAGAAAAGGATTTAGGAGTGTTTGAGGAAGTAAAGTAGTCCTCAGGGGCCTTGGTTTGTTCAGGAGTGACACTGAAACCAGAAGGAATATGAAACATATTTCAGTGGAACTAAAGCTGCATTTTCTTCACCGGAGTTACACTATTACACAGTTGAGATTCTAGACAGTTCAAGTTTCTGCAGAATGTTTATCATTCACAGAGAAGTATAATCACCTGACATCCATGGACTTTCCTGTGACTGTATAAACTTTGTGTCATATTCTTGTCTGATCCAGAGACAACTTTATCCTGAAGTATAAATCACAGCTCGTCACTAACTATCCCATGTTAAGATTCGTGAAGATGGAAAAAGTAAAGGCATAACAGCACCATATTTTCTTGAGGATAGTAATATAATAAAGTGCTGCAATATGTCACCATTTTTTTTAAACTATCACTGTCAGAGAGCGTCCACTAATCACATTTACCTCTTACCACAAAGGAAATTTAAGAGTTTGACAGCTTTGTAAGAAGATTTGTGATGAAGATATGAGTTCTCATTCCGCTCTTTACAGCAATGCACCAGTTATTTAACAGGTAAATCTGCTTCTTTGCATGTTTATTTTCATGGCTTTGAGTTTCTCAGGATTCAGATTGTTTTCTTAACATGCCAGTAAAAACATTTTGTGTTGGGCACAGTGCTTTAGTAATGACTTGGAGGTTGTGACATAACTGGGTATTAAGATATTTCTGAACCAATGCCAATGTGATACCTGCGTATTGGTTCTGATTTAAAAAAAAAAAAAAAAAAAAAAAACCTTTTTCAATACTTTCAATACTTTTTCTACAAAAGGAACTCATCAGTGTTTACTGATGGTTTAACACAAACTATTTACCTCAATATAAGTTTCTTCTAAGTTTCATCAAATCTATGATTTAAATTAGGCAATATTTGGTTTAAGAAAGTGAAACAATCTGAGTGAGCATTTAGTTCTACTTTTCTGATACTTTACAGGTTTCAACACTCAGTCCTGTGGAGTCAGTCACTATTGAAAAGGTCTTCATGTCTGATACTCAGCCTCTTAACCACTGTGGAAATCCACTTATGACACAAACGCACTGGTGTGCCACAGTTTATATTTGTGCCATTCTAATGTCACATCACCTCTTCTCTTTGTTTTATGAAAATATTGTTTTGTCACTTTAGCCCCTGTCTTTGAGTTATTGTTTGTGTTTGTAAATTAGAAATGGCGATCTCACATATGTTGACACACTGAGGACTAACAGTGAGTGCGTGTATATTTGCCTAAATAAATATACAAATATATAATTTGTTCTACTGCAAGTTCTGTGTGTTTGTTGTGTTTGTATAGTTGACCATGATTACTTTTACGCACAGCTGATGTGTGGTGTGTGTGTGTGTGTGTGTGTGTGTGTGTGTGTGTGTGTGTGTGTGTGTGTGTGCGTGTGTGTGTNGATACTCAGCCTCTTAACCACTGTGGAAATCCACTTATGACACAAACGCACTGGTGTGCCACAGTTTATATTTGTGCCATTCTAATGTCACATCACCTCTTCTCTTTGTTTTATGAAAATATTGTTTTGTCACTTTAGCCCCTGTCTTTGAGTTATTGTTTGTGTTTGTAAATTAGAAATGGCGATCTCACATATGTTGACACACTGAGGACTAACAGTGAGTGCGTGTATATTTGCCTAAATAAATATACAAATATATAATTTGTTCTACTGCAAGTTCTGTGTGTTTGTTGTGTTTGTATAGTTGACCATGATTACTTTTACGCACAGCTGATGTGTGGTGTGTGTGTGTGTGTGCATGCGCGCGTGTGTGTGTGTGTGTGTGTGTGTGTGTGTGTGTGTGTGCGTGTGTGTGTGCGTGTGTGTGTGCATGCGCGTGTGTGTTATGTTTACATTTGTCTGCATCTGTGTAATGGCCTCAGTCTTTAGGCTCAGTCCCAGTAATTATGCACAGTGTTTACATCAGACTTACCAACACACACACACACACACACACACACACACACACAAACACACACACACACATCCTGATGCATCCACGCTGTCAGAAAACGGTCAGTAGTTACAAAAACAGTGTTGTAGGGCCAATCGTCCAGCAAATGACCTCAAAATTCTACTAATCACAGGACTGATAGCTCATTAACACTTAACTGTGTCTCTCTGTTAAAGCTTGCTGGGTTAAGTCTATTATTGCAGGGTGCTGGCTGTGCAGCATAGATGGAGATTACAGAGATAAGACCTTAATGCCCTCAGACACCTTTCCATGTCTAAACCCCCTCCTCCTCCTCCTCCTCCTCAACCCCCGCTGTCCCCTCCATCAGAGACTCCTCTCAGTTCGTCCACTCTCTCTCTGGACTCTTGAAGACATACTGACCCACCAGCCTGCTGCCATGAAGACTGCTCTTGCCCTGCTGCTGTTAGTCTCTCTGGCCTGCCACAGTAAGTTTCTACAACACTGATACCAAAACTGGATTTGGGGGAGGGGTGGGGGTTAGCAGTAGGGGGAAGGATTTTATTGATTAGCAGCTGGCAGACTAACTGTAGATGGGTTATAGAAGCACAGGTGATCCAGGAGCTTGAGGCCTTTACAATTTGGGACATTTCCCACATAAATCGGTCACAGATTTAAACCTGGAAGGTTCCAATGATATGCATGTCAACTGAGTCCGAATTAAATTTAACCTGCATAAATCTGACAGCAATGTACGGATCTTTAGTGTGTGCTTGGGAGAGTGTGCATGCAAGGTAGAGTGAACGGACCAATAAAAACACATGGTTGTGTGTGTGCATGTTTACACTCACCTGTGAATATACATGCTTAGTCTCAAGTCAGGTGTTCTCTCCTGTTCTGTCTGTAAAGGCCACGCCCTCAAATGTCACACATGCGTGGCGTCCAATGATGACGACTGCAACCGACAGGGCTCCACCTCCTGTCCTCAGTACGCTGATGCCTGCTCCACCATCACAGGACCCAGTGAGTAAACACCCACAAACACAAACACACAGCCAAGAAAACTTGCAACACAAGCGTGGTGTAGTTGAATACAGTTGTGTAAATGCCTCACTAGAGGTCAGCACATCACTGGCACATCTCTGCCTGTGTGAGGTAGGAGTTTAAGGAAGTTGGTACGGCTTAAAATAGTGTTGTTTCCATTGAGTGAAGGTCAGTATTAAAACCCATAATGCAGCAGCAGAAGTATTTCTGTACAATAGTTGCATGCTTTGCAGATACACGGCCTATTCATTATTCTGTCAATGCTGTCTTATTCTGTTTGCTTATGTATATGTGTGTGTGTGTGACAGAGAGAGACAGTGTGTGTGTGTGTGTGTGTGTGTGTGTGAGAGAGAGAGTGTGTGATCACAAAGCCTCTGCCTCTTCATCCTCTCATCATTTGAGGTTGCTGGATGTTATCCCAGCAGTTTACAATAACCACAGACTTCTCTGTGCCTATCAGTGTGTGTGTGTGTGTGTGCGAGTGTGTGTGTGTACAAGTGGGAGTTTGGGGGGAGAGTTCAACGGGTTGACAGCGTCATACCAAATGAACACAAGCAGTCAGTCTGCAAACGCTTCAAAGCAATCTGCCATCCTCACACGTCCCTGTGTGTCCCACTCTCTTTCAGACACCGTGATGAAGTCCTGCACATACAAGGCTTTCTGCGACAAGGCTAATGGCGGCAGCTCTGGAGCAAAGATGGTGTGTTGCTTCGGTGACGACTGCAACGGGCCCCACAGGAGCCACAGCCACGGGGATCACCACCACAACGGTGCAGGGGCTCTCGCCTCCAGCCCCCTCCTGCTCATCACAGCCCTGTTGCTGCGTCTGGCCTTCAATCAGCTCTAAACTCTTCCAGCTCTTCTTCTTCAATTGTTATGTTATCAACCCATCTGTCCATCCACCCTTTTTAAATCCAAGTTTTTAAAAAAAAAAAAAAAAAAAGGATTTGAGCTGTAGAGAGTTTCATGTGTTTTGAGATTGTGGTGAACACAAAAAAGTGTTTCTGATGCGGTGGTGCATTCGAGGAGCATGGTCTGTCCTGTAAATACCAGCTGCATTTCAGCAGCTTCCATTTTTTTTAATTATTATTAAAAACCTGAATAATAACTTCATTATCTACAGTGCTATGTTAACTTTCAGGTGATGTAACGCTATGAACCCGAGAACATTTGTAGTGAATAAATGTGTACAAAGTGAAGTACACCCGCTCACAGCTCTGGCCTAGCTGGTGGGACTTGGGTGTGGTTTTGGTAGGTGCTTGGGTGTTTCAGTGGGTAGATAGTGCACAGCTTGCTTGACACCAATAGAACCACATTATTCACTTGTTTTGTTGTCGAGGTAACCCCAAGTTAAGTATTTTAACAGCGCAATCAGCTCAGAAAAAAGTTTTAAAAAACCTTTGTAAGAACATGTTTAGTGCTTGAATTGTTCATTTTTTGTGCATGCAAGCTTGTCTGAATAAAGATGCAATCACACCTTTATTTTTATCTGTGTATGGTGTCTGATTCTGCGTGGGTAAGATGACTGTGGTTTGGCATTTGATATCCTACACTTGACTTTTAAAAGCCAGAGAAAAGAAATGTGAGTTTATGTTCAGGTCCCTGGTGTGAAAGGATACCTGCAGATGCATGCTTACCCTGGAGAACACAGTCTGATAGTTTGGTGATTTTCAGCACAAACAGGAGGGAGTGGGGGTGGGGTGTCTGTGGAAACGTCAAGACTTCCTTCTGCAACCGTGTAACTGTGTAAGTCCTGTGCAGTCGCCACAGGATATGAAATCAGTGAGGTAGGTCTCCATCCTCAGGCAGGTCATATGATGGGCAACCACTTCCTCTTAACAGCAGGACATATGTTTTTATCAAAAGAGAGAAAACAGAATCACTCCTGTAAATGCTGACATGTCTTACATCAGCATTTATAAATGCGACATGTATGAAAACTCTAAATCCCAGACTCTTGACGAGACATAAAGTGTTGAAACCAGGAGGTCAGGTCAGTTCATCCTCCTAGCTCTCTTTCTGTCTTTCTGTCTGTGTTTCATCACAGGACTCAAACTGCGATCACCTTTGTGTAACAATGGAGAAACGGTGAAGCAATACCGTAGGATACTGTCTGAGGTGATTTGACAGATTTCACGGGAAAATATTTTTTACCAAAACATTTGACTGATGTCGAAGTTGCTACTTTGCAGATTAAGATTTCACATTAAAACACGAGATAAGCTCAAAGATATGATGCCTTGCTGGAGTTTAACCTATGAGGTAGTCAAGCAAAGTGCCGCCTGGATCACCTACAATGTTAAATCACATATTTCAACTTGCTTCTGCATCAGTTGTAACGCCTGGATTTCCTCCAACAGCTTTGAGTGACAACCCTAAACCACTTCATACTCTGTTTCACACCCTGCTTGCTCACCAAGCAGTCTCGTTATGACGTCTGTTCTTTAATACTGAACATTTCTCTTGTATTTTTTTCTCTCTCCGATAGTGAACTGCAACCGAAATATATTTGAGCTCCGTTGAATAGCTGTGGTTGGAGGTGTTGCTTCACTGTGTTTATCATGGTTGAAACTGCAAGGTAACCTGTTACACGTTAAAACTGAACTCAACAATCCCAAACAATCCTTTGATCTAAGCTGCAGAGCACAACACTGCTCAGGCCACGACTGTTAGTTTGTAACCAGACAAGTGACCGACAGCGATGTCATTTCTATATAAATGCGATGTATTTAAAATGGCACTGAGCAAATGAATGCAAAATTATGCATTTGTAAGACTGCAACTAATAACATCTGCAGCTTATTTATGAAATTTTTTTTTTACCTCAAGCATGTTTGCAAAATGAAATTCTTAATTGCACAAAAAGAAGACAAGCAGCTACATTCAGTATAATACTTAAAAAGATCAAGTTAACTTTAGTTGCCATTTTTAAGTTGAACCACCTTTATAAAATGAAGTAAACACAACTACATATTAAGTAAACTTAACAGGTGGATATGAAGTCAACATGAGTTATGACTAATAGTTATATTTACTTCGTTTTTTTCAAGGCAATTGGTTTCCTAGATTTTTAAAAGTAACGTCAACTTGTCACATTTTACAGTGAAGAACCTCATCCTCCTCTACTTCTCACATTAGAAAGTATCTCTTTAGGTACAATTGTGAAGCTGTAACTACCACTGAGGCATAAAGCTACACAAATTAAAATAAAAAGAGCTTAGCTTATTTACCATTTCACTCCACCAGAAACACCTGACAATGTAGAGAGAGCTTGAAATACTCCAGAAATTTAGTTTGTTAGAGGCAAAAATGTTTAAGTGAGGTGGGGTTGGGGGATTTCAGACTCATGACCTCGGTGTTTCTGACATTGTGGCTACAGCCCTGCTGAAGGTTGTCCTATTGCTAATTTTACAGGACATTGGAGAACGGGAAGTACTCCAAACTCTTGCACCTGTCACACACCCACTCACCTCCCATGACAGGTGTATGAATTGCTCTATTGTTCACTGTGTCCTCACGCCTTAAAGGGCTGTTTAAAGGGTTAAGGCTTGGTTTTAAGGTTCAGGTTAGACTTGGGTTTAGGTTTAGGTTTAGGGTGAGGTTTAGGGTGAGGTATTTATTTGTGATGGGTAAGATTAGTGTAAGGGGCTAGGGAAAGCATCATGCCACAGAGAGGGAGTGTTCTCACAACTTATGTAACAAAGCAGCTCTCAGTGAAAGTGTGTGTGTGCGTGTGTGTGTGCGTGTGTGTGACCCACTTCTCAAGTTACCACCTGAGAGGAGGCGAGATAACATACACATCGCATGCAGTTGCAGGAAGACAAGACAGTGCAAACTTTTTTATTTTCTGGCAAAGCCTCGGTAAGGGGAGTCACAGAAAATACCGACAAGATGCCAAAGTTGCACCACTAAAGCTGTTGAAATTACAATACGTGAGGTTAGAAGGGCAGTTAAGCCTGTTGAGCTCGGTTTAGTTCCTCATTATGTGAACGCATCAGCAGCACAGGAGGAGGAGGAGGAGGAGGAGGACCCGGCCGGAGCTGAGAGGACGCATAGATCACATCCGGGGCTGGTTTATTCTAATAACGAAACGTCCTACCCGGAAAAAAAGACAAGTCTTCTGCAATCCGACCACACAAACAAATAGACGAGAGTGTGACAGGCCGATGCACGCCGGCTTTGTAAATGTCCGCTGTTTGTAAAAGTTGTTAAAAAACTTTTTTCTACCATGCTCGTATTTACCAAACTCGCGTCTCTCCTCTCCGCTTCGTAGCCGTGCGGGGCGCTGGCTGTGGCGTACACTGACTCTCCACAGCGGGTAAGTAGTCCGTCGACAGTGTGTGTGTGTGTGTGTGTGTGTGTGTGTGTGTGTGTGTGTGTGTGTGTGTGTGTGCGCAGATGGTACAGTAGCCCACAGTAGGTGTGGCAGGCCGTTGAGTCGTCGGTGAGTCAGGGCAGGTCATCTGAGCTGACCATATGTAACGTCTGTCAGGTGTTCCTGAGTAACTCTGCCTCAACACATTTCAACTTTTTCATTACAGGCTCATAATCACGTTGTACATGCTCGTCAATGACCATAAAATGTCGTTCAGTGGCGTGAAGCTTGTGTTTGAGCTGCTGCTGCTGAAGAAAGAAAGTGACCAAGCTGCATCTACCAAATATTTTTGTAATCGATTAATCGTTTGGTCCATAAAATGTCAGACAGTACTGGAAAAACGCCTGTCACAACTTCCCAGAGCCCAAGTAACGTCTTCAGACTGCTTTCTTTTGTCCAATCAACAGCTCAAAACCCAAATACATTCACAGTTTTGAGGTATTGTATTTAAGTAAAAACATTTTATATACCATATTTTAGTGGAAGATATTGTACTTTTTACCCCACTATATGTATTTTACAGGTATAGTGACATGTTATTTTTCAAATTAACATTTTACATTAAAAACATGTGATGAGTTTGGGAACTGTAGGAAACTTTTTAGGGTGGGGACAGTGGCTGAAGGATGTGGTTCACTTTGTAAAAAAGCAGCTGGTCCCCAGCTTTATTTGAATTCTCTCAACTGTAACATCCTCCAACCCTGATATATCAAACTAATAAAACAGGGTTGAACTGATAAATCATAGAAGAAATTTCACATTAGAAGTTTTCAGCCACTCTACTTTTGAATGAAGAGCTGCCAACTGAACGGTTATTACCACAATCAGTGACTAGTAGCAAAGGATGAAATAAGAATATAAAACATTTGGGCTGAGAAGAACTTTACAGACCTTCTTCTTCTCTTCCACAAATGTCAGACTTCCCTCCTTTTAGGAAAGAAAAAAAAACATAACCCCTTTTTTGACCCCTCCTTCCTCCCTAATAATTTTAACACAGTCCCTAAAAAAATACGAGGTACTTACTTGTTAATGTATCACTAATATAAATAAAATTCCACCACTGTCAGCCAAGCTTCATGACTGAGCAGCAAATAGGGAATGTTTGACACCATAGCTCGGAAAATGACTCAAATGATTAATTGATTATTCAATTTGATGCCAGTTCTTTTTCTGTCAAATCACCAAATCTTTTCAACTCTAAGTTAAAGTGGTGACTCCAGCGATTTTACATGTCAAAGTCAATTTCATTGTCGCAGGGAGAGTACTATTCGGCCTGTGAACACAGTTGTATAACGCCTTCACCAGATCTGGAGGGAACTTTTGTCAAATCTGGGAAAATTCAAGTGAAGTCAAGTTGCAGCAGCTGGGTTCCTCGGTTTGGTCTTGCAGGTCAAGTGTTAAGCAAAATCCTGCGTTACAAATTTGGGGGATGGAGTTTGGCAAACCAAGAGTGAGGCTACAGCAGTCAGGGAAGTGCAGGATTGAGAGTCTTGTGTAGGATATCTCGGCCTCAGCTGCATCGAGTTTGACTATTCCTTTGTCTTTCTGTCTGAACGTTACTGAATAGCTCTTTTAATCCTTGTATAACTGACTTCAATTAGAATCTGCTCTATCAGTTTCTGTTAATCTGAAAGGAGGCTGGACACAAATAAAGCAGATGTGTATACAGAGTGTAGGTGGGTTTCACTTCACTACCCTGGATGTGGTGAAGGAGAATATCTCTGATATCACCGCTGTGATCTATGCACTCTGTTCTGTCTTCATACATGCAAACTGTTTACATTAACTGGTAGATTTGTGTCATCCTGTTGCATTTCAAAGCCGGATTACTTTAAGAATCTGCTAAAGTCTGAATTCTATTTATTGGTTCAGTTTTGCCAAAGATGCCAAAGCCTTACCACTGCTTCTCCGAGGCAATGCCAAAGCCAGATGTTTTCTGATACCCTGTGTGCGCGCGCGTGTGTGTGCGCGTGCGCGTGTGTGTGTGTGTGCCAGACTCAGCTTTGGTATCTGACCTGAAAAAGGCTTCTGAATGGTTTTCATCTTTGACCTATTACGATAGCAAAAGAAAATATGTTGGATGTCTGACGCATCAGAAACACAGCCCACAAATTTTTCAAAGCAGTTTCAAAATGAAGTATTTTCCTATCCATCGACTTAAACATAGTTTCACAGGAGATCCACAGCGAAGATGTCTGACGTTTGTCTGTGTTTTGTTGGGTAATGTGTGTGTGACCTTTTTCATGGAAATAATTTCCATCTCCTGAAAGGTTGTCAGCCAAGACAGTGCTTTAAAAGTATTTGCAGAGGGAGCCGTTCAGTCCTGATGATATATTTTATATGACTGTCACTTGTGTTATAATTTTTGTTCTTATTAACAAAAAAAAAAAATCTGTCACAGATTTAGCTTGGTTGCCATCATATCACGTTTGTGGCCTCATTACATTCAAGTCCTTTCCATAAATTCAAATATCTGGCGAAGTTAAGACCTGTGAAATGGGAAAAAGTGCAGAAACCCTGCTTTGCATTTTTTCTTCAGTGCATCTGACTGTGTGCAGTATGTCATTGTGGTTACTTCAAATTTACTCAGCAGCGATGCAAGAGAAACAACATTGGAAGGACTGAAAAGTTCCCCCAGTAACTTAAGGAGGACAAGATTATAAAATGGAGCTCTCACCACGCCAGAAGCCTTCCAACTCCCCCAAAGAATAATAAAAAAAAAGTCTTAAATTTACTGTCAGTTGTCTGCCATGGATGAAATTCTCTTGGAAAGCAAACACGATCGAAATACCGTCGGCATACCTGAGTGTCTGGGCTGAATGAATCTTGATTTTTTTGCTGTCAATAAGTAGCTCAGTGATTCACATGCATGGCATCATCTTAATGAACTCCCCACCACCCTACTCCTCCTCTCCTCTTTTTCCCTTTTCTCCCTCCCTCTCCTCTGTCTCTTCTCTGGCCAGTGGAAATGTGCGTGTGTGCAGATCTTGAGTGCAGTCTGTAATTTTTGGCTGTGGTGGAGGGCCTCAGCTCAGCCTTGGGCTTCAGGGTTTGCTGCTCAGCCTCAATCACGTCACATGAAAAACTGCTGAGTGTGAGCGGGTCTCTTTCTTCCTGTGTGTGTGTGTGTGTGTGTGTGCGTGTGTGCGGCGCTTGTGTGTGTTTGAACACTAAATGAAAGATGGTTTATCCTCCACATCTGCGTGTCTCTGCCTCTCCGTCTGTCTCCTGCTGTTGCTGCCTTTACATTTTGCCTCCCATTGTCCATCTCGCTTGATTCTCTGTCTTTCTATCTGTCCATCTGTCCCAGTGATATGTGATAGCAGCAGTATGCCGTACGTGGACCGGCTGAACCGTGTTTGTGGCTTCCTGGACATCGAGGAGAAGGAGAACAGCTGCCGCTTTCAGAGACGATACTTCATCCTCGACACACAGGGAAATGCTCTGCTGTGGTATATGGACAACCCTCAGGTGCTCCACACATACATGCATGACACCACGCTTGCACAAACAGCAAGAGGAAGTGAAACTGACCAATAGAAGCCGTGTAACCTTGGACCCTGAGCCAATGACGAGTCTGTGTGTTTGTGTTTGCATGCAGAACCTGCCCAGTGGAGCCAGCTTTGTTGGCAGTCTGAAACTAACCTACATCTCTAAGGTAAACCGCTCTGTCATTTCCCTCTGCTGTGGGTTGTAGTTACATAAAGTCCTGTGTACTAACACATCTCGAGCAGACTTTTCGAGCGGTGTGGACGCAGGAATTCGCAGAGTGCACACAAATAGAAACATGCAAATAGGCTTCACAGATACAGGAGATGTCTGGGTTATCTGCTGTTATAGTTAACGGTCACATGCGGCGCAGAGCTGAAGCAGACTTTGTGAAGTTTTCCAGATGTCACGGCGCTCGCTGAGCTAACCAGAGATAATGACATCTGGCTTCAGTGCACTGTTGTGCTGACAGCTCCTCCCTGGACACTCTTAGTCAAATAGACATCAAAGATATGAACTGTTTCTTCTCCTCTCCTCTCCTTTTGTCTCCTCTTCTTTCTATTACTTTTCTCTCATTTCCTTTTGTCTCCTATCCTTTTTTTTGTGACCTTTTCTCTCCCCTTCCTTTGTCTCCTCCCTTTTCTTTTTGTCTCCTCTCCTCTCCTTTCCTCTCCTCTCCTCTCCTCTCCTCTCCTCTCAGGTGAGTGAAGCCACAGCAAAGCAAAAGCCCAAGACGGAGTTCTGTTTTGGTGAGTTTTTCAGGGAAACAGTGAGTCAGTCTCATGCAGTAGCGCACAATGGCATTAATTTTGTTTACACATGTGATACGATTATATAATGCGGTTATTGAGGATATTCATGGAAAGGATGTCTATTTCTGCAGTCATCAATGCAGTTTCCCGGCGGTACTTCCTCCAAGCCAACGATGTGACTGACATGAGGGACTGGGTGGCTGCTCTCAACAGGGCCAGCAAGATCACTGTGAGTGCAACACACACGCACACGCACACGCACACGCATGAAATTATAACCAGATGTCTTTGCCTAATGTGCAGTTAGTAGAAGGCTAAACTAACAGTCATTGATAAGGGATTTGTTTCCACCTGAGCACAGGAAGCTGCAGTTTGTGGTTGTGTAACAGAAGCTGGTTTGGCCTGGGTGGGTGCATATACCAGCGCGTTGCCTACAAATCTAAGCCTACAAACCCTCTGACACACTTGGTGAATGAGGAAATTGTGAATGTGCACAATTATGAGCAATAGCACACTCGCATTGCTGTGGCCGAGGTGTCAAAACATCATTGTATATGTGTGTGAAAGAGCATCACATCGCACATTTGCATTATATTTGTATTTGTTCGGCGACAGGAATGGGACCTTTTTATATAACCGGCAACATGCAGATGTCTCATGACGGCAGATGACAGAGAAGAGTATCTCTCTTTCTCTCTCACCTGCACGCTGACACAGGAAGCAGCGCCGCTCACTCTCTCTTTCACTTCCCCTTCGATTGGAGGGCTACTTTGCCGCCTTCTCTGAGTTTCCCTAGCCTCAATGAAACTGTGTGAAAGCACTTTCTAAAGCAGAATGGACATGATGTCAATGCAGGAATAAAAGTAAAACTCTGACTCATGGATTTCAGGCTTTTATTACCAAAAGATAAAAGTATATAAAACGCAGCTCTTCAAATGATTTGATTTATTTTTCTTCTTTGGCCACATCAGGGTGGGGTAGTTTATATTTTTGTGAGATACTTTGTGTTTGATTCACACTCAGCTGCCAGTTTACTAGCTGCATGCACTAAATCCCAGCTTCACTAAAGTTATAATGTTCAGTTTATGTTCAGAAGTGTTTGTCCACCCCATTTATATCAATGAGTGGAGGCTAAGTAACAGCTCTAAAACATCTCTCTGTATAATACAATACAGCACCACAAACATGCAGTCATTTTTTCCCCCTCTTGTTTCTCATTAATAAAAATGACACATGAACTTTCAAGACTTGATAACAAAGCATGTTCCAGCTGTTTTTTGCCTAAATCGACCGTTAACTTTTCATTGTAATTTGGCGAGTGTGTGGTAACGGTAAGCGCCCAAAGAACTGCACAAGCTGGATGCTTTCATCCAGAACATTTCACAGTTGTTCTGCTGCAGCACAAGGACTCCCAGTGGGAATTAAACCGCTAACTCATGGCCGTTAGAGCAAACGTTACCCCCAGCAGTTTTACTTTCTAATGTGAGTGTACTTAATGTTATCCTGCCTTGTTGACAGGTTCCTAAAGCTGGGCCTGCTCCTCCGAGGTCTGATGTGACCGCAGTGATCAGTGACACTCAGGGGGGGAAGAAACAGAAGGCCTACAAGACTGAGATCATAGGCGGTGTGGTGGTGCACACTCTTATCCAGGTAAAGTAGAGGAAGCTAAAACCAGTGTGGTTACAATAATGACAATGTCAGCGGTGACTGATTTTTTTATTTTTTTTTTTTTATCTGACTGTGGAATTTAATTTTTACCAAAGCTAAAATAGCTTCCACAGTGCTTAAGTGTAAGCTGAGATATCTGAAGACAGTGACTGTTATAATGGTTATGAAGATGGTTATGATGAAATGTTTCAGAATGAGAGTGAAGAGACAGAAGGAAGAGAGAGGAAGGGCAACAGGCCGGGCGTGCTGAGATGTGGTTACTGTGTGAAACAGGGGAATGTGGTGAGTACCCAGCTACTTAGAACTGATTAACTCTGTGTTTGAATTAAAAAAAAAAAATCTGTGTGGAATCTGTAATGTGGTGTGTTTTCCAGAGAAAAAGCTGGAAGAGGCGGTTTTTCACGCTGGATGACAACACAGTCAGTTACTACAAATCTGAGATGGTGAGGAGCCAGGCTTTTTTTTTTTTTATTTCCTGTCTCTTTTTGTGTGACTGCGGTCTTTGTCTGGCCATGTCTGAATTGTGCTTATGTTTGTCGCAGGATAAGGAGCCTCTCCGAGCTATTCCACTGAGAGACATTCAGAAGGTCCATGAATGTCTCGTCAAGTCGGGGTGAGTCAAATGTGAATCACTGAGTCAAATTTTCCCACAATTTTACCTTCTGTCCATCTGGTTATTTATCTGATATGGATGTAAAGAAATGCAAATACATGATTTGTATATGAGCAGATAGCGCACAGGCACAAACAGCATCTGAACTGTTGCAGTTGAGTCAAATAGACCATAGGCTAAAACATGGAGAGGTAGATAAATTTGATCACACGTTGAAGCCTAGCACTGTGCTCACTTTGACAGTAGAAGGGAAAATGACAAGCTGAAGTTTAAACTTTTTTCTTAAAAGTGCATGCAAAAAGGCCAAAAAAGTTTTTCAAATTTTTGTCAATAGCTTTCACATGTTTTCATAGACACTAGAAACATCAACCTTTGGATAAAAAAAGTATCCCGTAAACTATTTCAGCTTCTTTTTTTTTTTTTGGACACCAACTGTATGTTAATCTGAGCCTCTTCCTATTATATACACAACCTCGATTTGATTTTTTTTTAAAGAGAAATGATGCAATATAACCCAGTGCAATTCAGACTTGTATTTTACCACTATAATAAATCTCTCCTGTTTCTGTTATTCGTTTCCTCCTGGACCATTAGAAGCAACACAACTTTTACTCAGACACAGTTTGGACTTACTTTTTTTTTTTCTTTTTTTTTTTTTTTTTCGCAATGTGTATTTCAAATACAAATCATGCTTTATTTTTTGAACACCAGCCACTTTAAGGATAAATCCAAGTAAAATAAACAGAAAGCGATAGGAGCTTTGCAATACACTTGCGCTATCTTATCCTTATCCTATATCCCTCCCTTTAGACACTGTATGTTTCAGCAGGATCATTTTTCACTTTCAGGGATCTCCTGCTGCGAGACAACCTGTTTGAGATCATCACCAGCTCCCGAACTTTCTACATTCAGGTAAAATCTCTTTCACCTGTTCATCTGAACCTTAATTCATCACATGCTTTTCAAATCTGTGTGTGTAACGCAGTCTTAATGAACAGGGAAAGTCAGCAGTCCCAGGTGTATCTGATCTGATGTTTTGACTTGTTTTCTCTAAATGCTCTGCTGCTGATGTGTGGCACGAAAAGTTTGTTTTTGTGAAATGGGTACAGCCATCTGTTACCATAACAACAATAACATCCTGTTCCTTCCCCTGGGAGAACAGCTGATGGAGACGGTGAGGGTCTGATCAGATGGGAAGTGCGAAAGAGAAAGAGAGAGAGAGAGAGAGGCTGCATGTGCTAGCACTTTTATTTTTATCTGTGCAAGAAAAAAAGGAAGCATGACAAACATTTAAACTAAATAAAAAACACAACACATAAACAAAAATAAGTTGAACAGAGATTATTATCACAGTGAAAGTACAGACACCAAAATAAAAAAAATCAACTTAAACTAAACTTGAACTTGAATTACAAATTAAAATTAGAGCCTGTTATTAATATTGATAGTTGTGAGTTTGAAAAGCCTGATAGCGATATATCAATAATAATCATGTTAGTAATAAAAACTAGGGTTTTCTTTAATGTCCCTGCTAAACACGGTAACAAATGAAATGAAATGCCCACGACAGTTTATAAAAACCAAAGCTGCGGAAAATCAAAAGGATGTAATTTTATGCCTTGCCTAAATGCCTCTCTGCTCCCCCTCAGCGCCAACAGTGTGTAACACTAGCTAACATTAGCTTAGAAATGGAGTCTGCTAATGTCAGCAAACACAAATACCACATAAGCAAAAAACTGAAGATGTACATTTTTTTAAATGGGTCACAAATACATACTTTAAGTTTTTAAAGAAGGCTACATAATATCCGAAGACAACTGGGCACTGTAGGTTTTGGCAAACCTTACTCAAATGGGAGAAAATAGTGCATATGTTGCAGACTATTTTTAGTGGGGAATTAATACAAATTTTCTCAAAAAGTATTTGTGGCTGCAGAACAAACTTCACAGGAGTCAAAATAAACCAAACTGCCCGTGTTCATCCTCATGAAGGATTCTCGTTTCAGATTCAGTTTCGCTCATTCATGTGTTTTTACTTGTTTTTAGACACAACAATGGAGGTACTGTATCTGGCTCAGACGAATAGTCTGTATGTTGATCTTTCATGAGATTTGTTGACAGATAAAAAAATATAGAGTTCCTCCAGGCTTAAACTTTAAAATAAGATTAGCAGCTATTAGAAAATATGACACCAGGACAAACGAGTTCAATGGCTGGTGTGAAAATGACTCCAGACATTCTGCTCTGCAACGCTTCATCTTCTGGTAACTTTTCTCTGCAGACAGACTCTCCAGAGGAGATGCATGATTGGATCAGGGACATTGAGATGAAGATTCAGGAGTTCAGATGTCCCCCTAAGGTAACTCTTTTGTCTCTCCCCTTTCTTCTGAGGAAAGAAACAGTGAAACTCTTGATTCTGATTAATAAAGATGGTGTTTTTTGTCTCTTTTATTGCAGGGATTTTCATTTAAACGTGCGTCTTCTCTCTACCGAAGTCACAATGCCTCCTCTGCATCTCGTGGTCAACAGAGTGATGACCGCAGGCCTCCACTAGTCAAGTCCTGCTCCGTGGCGCCAGGCTGGCAGCCATGGACGCCTGTCCCGCTGAGTGAGCCATCCATTATCGACGCAGAGGATGATGACAGCGCTTTCAGCTCCATACCCACCTTGCCTTCTCTTTCTTCCTCCTCCACCTCTTCCTCCACCTCCTCCTCCTCAAACTCCCTCTCTACCCCAACCCCTTGCCCCAGCGTGAATCCCCCACCTTCGACCAGCGGACTGGGGATCCTCACAGCATCAGGAGACGTGGCCAGCGGGCGTCGGAGGCACCGCTCTCAGCCTCAGTCTCACACCAGCTGCAACTTCCCCTTCAGCCTGGATGATGAGAGCATCCGCACCACAGACGTCTAGTTCAGTGAAGTCTGTCCAGACTCCTGTGTGGACTAAAGTGTTGGTACCTGCTTTAAAATGAATGTGACTGGTAATAATAGTATTCCCTGCTAATGAAGTGACACTGTGACCATCTGCCTCAATGCCATGACATGAGATTGGGATTGGGGCCCCCTGCTGGTTTTGTAGCTGCATTGCAGACGAAGGATCACCCAGCTGGAAGGAGACCAAGAGGAGCAATGTTTGTTGTTCACAGGACTGTGAAAAGGTATGATGGAGTGTTTTTTAGTGCAACTTCCTCTGAAAACTTGAATAATCTTGTTGTTAGTTGTTCTTGCGGATTTACAAATTATGGCACATGCTTTCAATCTGTTGCACTTGGCTCCTATTAGACATGTATGACTGTCTCCGGGATCGTGTTCTCACCCCTGCTGTAAGTATTCACAAAGAAGTGTTGAAAGGCATTTTAACACGTTGCTATCCATATGTTTTATATTCAAGCTTATGTTCACAAAACACTTTAAGATAATTTGGACAAAGTTATTTTCCTTTTGAGCCGAGCAGTGTTTTTTGTTCCTTGTTTCTTCCTGAGACACACATTATATGAAAAGCCTCACATCTACTTACCTTCCTTAATAATTAACAAGCATTTATTACTACAATGTAATCAGGTGTCTGGGGGAAAGTATCCTGTAGGTCTCATAAAAAAGGTACCTGCACTCACTTGCCAACTGACTCTGTATCTGTGTAGACAGAAGATGGAGTCAGCAGCAGCTTGTATGTGTTCGCACTATGTTTTAAACTTTCTAATCTTTTAATACTTGGCTTAAAGATCAATCATCAGGAAACTGTGACTCCTCTTTTAGCTTGTAAAGTGATACCATAACGGCACGGCAGTGTTTTCCATGGTACTTGTTGTAGAATGTACTTCCAATATCAAAGTACGGCTGGTCAACTGGTTGACAGCTTTGTAAATGTGATTTTCTTATTGCAGCATTACGTGGTTAGAATGTGCCACTACTTTTGGTAATTTAATTGAAATTCCGCACTTTGCTTTTCTCATTTTTACTTGTGTTTTTAAGATTTTTGTCACAGCTTTCACAGCAGTTATCTTAGCTTCCTCTGAGACGATGCCTCAGATACTTTGTGTTGTTACACCGGCAGTCGCAGCCCTTCTCAGGTTCACCTCAAGACTTTATTGATGTGGTACCATGTTCCATTCCTCTTTCCGTTTTCTGAATTTGTGTGTACTTGTCTGCCTGCGTATATTGTTAATTTTCCTTCCTGTACATTAAATGATGCTTTGTATTCCTCTTGTTTGGGCTGTTTTTTAACACCTTTGAAGTTTATGGGTTGTTTCAGACTTCTCACACTCTGCCATCTAGTGGCAAGTGTGTCAATCCCCGTTTTACCCCAAAGACATCACAAAGAAACTTTGAAGAGTTTTCTAATTTACCTCATGATAGACGGGATGACATTAAGACTTTTAACTTTTATCTTTGTTTTCTCTCTAAAGGGCAAACATGTCCAACTGCCAGGCATGCAGTGGGTCAGGGCCAGCGCATTTGCCCTTTAACACTGTCACCTTAAACACATGCAGACCATGTAGATACAAAAATAAGAATGCACACACTTGCCAATCGAGTGCCCAGAGGCTGTGTTAAGTGAAGTGTTTCACACGTCCAGTGCAAAGGTCCATTAGGTAAAATGCCTAAAACGATGTCCTGACCTACGTCCACTTCCCTCTCTGCCTCCCCAGTGCAGCTGTGTGGCTGCAGGACTGGCGAGAGTAAAATGTCTCCACTGAACAGTTTAAATTGTCGTTAGGTAAAAAAGGCCCTGAGTGCCCGTGAAATGTCAGCTGTGTTGAAATGAGTTTTCAGTCTGTTAAAGACAGAGCTCCTCTAGGTACTGAGAGAAAGCCAAGCAGAAACATGTGGGGATGAAGACAGTGATGAAAGTTAGGTGAGGTTAAGGAAAGAAAAACTATGACATTGCTGATGGAGGATGAGCTTGTGGGGAACAACTTGCATCTGTGTAAAATAAACTCAAATCTGCTGTTTTTTGCCACTTAGACACTCACTAAACTGTGAGGCTTTGGCACATTGGTCTAAAACCTCCAACCATTATAATCTCGTCCTCTGGTGAGCTCCTAATCACTCTTTAATTCAGTGACTATGCACAGTCTGAGAAACAAAGAAATAATGTCTGGAAATATGACAACACACTGGGAAGCCCTTGAGGTTGAATTTTTTGTTCATAAAGTAAAGGTCACGTAGCACTTCAGTTTGACACCTGTGAGTGACAGCAGCTCTGAGGGCAGACGGACACACTGCTCCCTTAAATGTTAATGTTCCCACATGGATGACTCTGCTCTCTCTCTCTCTCGCTCTCTCTCTCTCTCTTTCTCTCTCTCTCTCTCTCTCTCTCTCTCTCTCTCTCTCTCTCTCTCTCTCTCTCTCTCTCTCTCTCTCTCTGCCTGCTTCTGATGTCGTCACACTCTGGTCATCTTAAATGTTACAAAATATAATCATGGCTCCCACTACTATGGTGCTGTATGTTTTATTGCTTGTAGACTGACATAAGGAATGTGTATATGGCAAAGACAGACGTGGCGTGTTTGCTTTGTTTCTTTTGGACCTAATCATACCGACGTCTTTGCTCCCAGCTGTTATTTCCCTGTTTGCAGAAGAAAACCACTAGAGGGAGCTGCATGACACCACACTGTCTATGGTGCAATGAGCTTATGTACCAGCCTTACTCCATCACAAACACTCACATTAAAACCCTGCAAAACTTCACACAGAAGCTAAAAAGCGATTCAGAGTCAATCCCAACATTAAAGCACGATTAAAATGAGAAATTGAGGATGATGCTCAACAATGAAAAATACATGACTTTCCTTTGATTGTGCTTGACACTTTATGTTGCTTTTCATACTGCTTTGTCACCTTCAAAATAAAAGCCCCAACAGAACTAACACGGAGGGATCAAATCAGCACAGAACCTGTGTAGAGTCAGTATAAACACTGTTTAAAACCTTTAATTAAGTTTCACCCCATTGTTGAAAGAAATAGTTCAGTTACATAATTTATTCAGTTGTCAAAAAGTATTAATTGTTCATATTTTGTACAATTATTACAGTTTTATGGTACTAGCTGCTGAATCGTATACCAGCACATGAAATGGATACTACAGCAAGACACTACAGCTGGTTCTCAAACAATAAAAAATAATTTAAACTTAAAGTTATAATATGTAACTTTTCCACATTAAAATGTCTAAAAATGAATAGACTTAAGTTATATATATATTTTTAGTTGTGTTCTTACATTATCCGAAAATGTTTCCAGCGATTCAACAAATACGTAATTTTAGCGCGTCCGTGTCATTTGGTCGCCTGTCAGTGACGTCATATGGCCTATGCCATGTGTGAGCGTTGTGGTTACCTGCTAGAATTTGAAAATTGACTTTTAGCTGGTTTTAAGCCACACACACCTTTTACTCCTCGGTCATTTTCAATTACATATTTTAACCGGGTGAAGGATTGTTGTCATCAGACGTCTGGATCTTAAGTTATCAAAGAAAAAAGCCAAGCAAATGTTAGGCAGCTCGACTCCCGCTGGAGACTTCCTGTCCTGTGTCCGCTGAACTGAGTCTGTGAATCACTGATTTCTATAGTGAAACTGCTTTATGGGTGTTTCTACCGGTTTTAATCCCCCTCCGTTTGTTGTGAGGAGGAGGACACATCTGCGGATAATTCGGCTGCCGGTAAAAACCTGTTGAACGTCTGGTTCGTAAGTTATCAGGGAAACAATCAAAACAAAGGTTACCAGCAGTCTCAGCTCCCAACCCTTACCTGATGTCTCTGTCCGTCTTGAAACACTGACTTTAAACGTGAAACTGCTTTATTCTGTGTTTTTATCGGTTACAATCAACGCCGTCTTTATTGTTTTGATTGAGAGTCTCCGAGGGGCAGAAGTTACATAGGCTACTGTGTGTTTAAGATTAATTTCCATCTTAAATTGTGCTTAAGGTACATAAGATATTCCATCGATACTATTAAATGATTTGATTTGATTTGAAGAATATTACTGTAAAATTAAACTCACATAACTTGAGTTCTTGAGATACAATTTCCTCTGGTTTTAGGTTTAAACTGGCGCAAAAAATGATGTGTGATATTATTTGCCACTGAACCAAGTGATCTGATCTGGAAGGACATTTACAGCAAGTCAGATCACACACACTGGCGTTAAAGAGGAGCACAACATTTAACTAAGCCTGTGCAGAAAGCAGAGTCTCACTAACATGTGTAATATGAAGTCATATTAATGTGGAGCAGGTTTTCCTTCATCTGGACTCAGAGGCCCCGTCTGGACCGCTGCCAAACCCCCACCCTCTGCTGTTCCCACATCAGACCGCCTTACAAACTGAGGTGGGGGGGTGGTTGGAATGTATTTTGCCCTGTGTGATGTGATTGTTTGCAGAGAAATGGGTTGACCTTGCCCTCTGATGCCACACACACTCGCTCTGGCCGAGCTGGAGGTGTGTGTGACAGACCTGCTGAGTGCAGGAGGTCTGGGACCGCTTCACCACTTCCTCCAGACAGAGAACAGAGGATCCAGTCAGCTGAAGCCAGGATGGGACAATAATGAGCTGCCCAGCCACCACCACCTCATTTCAGGTATTATTGAAACCTTCGCCTCTCTGTTTTCTTCTGTATAGACCAAGCAACTCTGGGATCATACCCTTAGGAGCTGTATCCCAAAAAACAAAACCCAGTTTATGAATTAGATTCATTCAAAGTTTTAAGATTTTAGCAACTTTGCAAGTAAATGAACTCGGATAAACACCAACATTAATAAATTCTAACTTTGATGTGTATATCTTTAATAATGTGTGTTAACCTCATGTTTTCACATAGTAAATATTTCATTTTGGAAAAGTGATTTTCAAATAATTTATGGACAAGGTAATGTAATCAATATAAATGTAATGAAACATTTAGATCAGGTTTTTCATACATTCGATTTTATGGAGAATTATTTCTCCATTTCTCCATTACACTTCAGTAAATGTTTGTATTATTTCTTAATGAATCATACAAACATTTTGCTTATTGAATATATTCCAGGGGATTATTATATCTGAATGGTAACAAAAACTGTTTTTAAAAAAAAAAAAAAAAAAAAAGGTTTTTGTCAGTATGTTGTTGTTTTTCAGGAGGAGGCATTAGTCCATTTTACATTTGTCCAAAGATGTAATGTGAACAATTAATGAATCGAAATGTTTTAGTGTGGCCACAAAAATCTGCCTGATGATTTTGTGTTTTTTGACTCCCAGATTTCAAATGTTATAAAACAACCACAGAAGTTCAAACGTGTGGCTTTAACTCATGACGCAATTAGAGGATTATATTCTTACTGTCTTTTTTTCGATTGCGTAATTGTAACCTGCAACGGAGGAAATTTTACAAAAATGAAATAATATTGTCCAGGAATACGCAAAATAATTAAAATTTTCACAATAAAACAACGGATGGCAACGATCTTTCACGTCTGTTGTGCTTGGAGGCTCGATAAACAGTAAAGTGAGTTTTGCCACACTCATTTTGAATTATTTGTTTAAGAGGAGCAGTGTGTCCAGACTCACTTTTTTTTCTTAAGATTATTTTGTTTTTACATAAGAAATCCTCAGAATCCTTTACTCATATTTTACTTATTTCTGTATAACATTTTGGATGTAACTCCAGAGTCCAGAAAAGTTCACTCTGAGCCTTGGAAGTTTTCCTTACCGCTACATTTGTTCAAGAGGCTTTATTTTTAAATAATTATAGCTTTTGTTTTATTTCATTTTTTTAATGCAGAGTAGTCTTTCCTCACATAACAAATATGTAGGTCTGTATTTTGATTCGCCATGTCTGTTTGTTTCTGCTTAGTTGGAAATCATTCAAATCACAAATTCTCAAGTAGACCTCCAACAAAATCCCACTGTAAATAAACATAATGAATGTGATAAACACAGGCTATTTCAGGATTTCCATATAAACTGGCAGC